TGTAGTTGTTTTTCAAATCTGTGCAGCCTCTTGCCCTCAGCTTAGTATAGAAGAAAGTGTAATGGACTTGGGTGCCAAAAAAACCCCTAAATATGAAACCTGGTTCATTTACTATGTGACCAATCATTTTTCGGTCATTTCCTACTCTTGGTAACCCCATTTGGGGTTTTCTTGACAAAGATAATGGAGTAGTTTGCCCTCTCCTTCTCCTGCCCATTTTACAGATGAGGAAACTGAGGCAAAAGGAGTTAAATGACTTCCCCAGGGTCACATAGCCATTAAACGTCTAAGGTCAGATTTGAACTCAGGAAGATGAGTTTTCTGAACTCCAGGCCTGGCACTTTATCCACTGTACCACCTAGCTGCCCTACCATGTGACTATAGGCCAGCCATTTATCTTCTTAGGCTTAATTTCTTCATTTCTAAAATGAAGTATTTAAAATACCTATTTCAGAAAGCTGTTAGGAAAATGTGTTACACATAATTACAACATTAAGCTCTGAATTTTTATGATACAGATTCAGATCACTTAATTCAGGCTACAAATAAGAAGATTATAGAAACATTAATATAAGGCAGTCAATGCATCGCCCACCTACAATATTAATACCTGTAGAAAACTTAGATATATTTGTCTATTGCTCATTCACTGTTTTTAAATCCATTTCTGAGACAAAAAAAAATACAATATATATTGATACATTCCTCCTTTTTATTGGAATTTTAAAGTCTCATGGATTTTAGAAGGTACAAACAGGAGCACACTTCTCATGCATTCTCCCTAGATTCTCCTACCTGTTTCAGCAACAGGGAAACTGAGTAAGGGATGATCTACTACACACCTAGGAAATGCAGAGGTCAAACTCTCTAGGAGTGTATTACGGAAAAGTCAAGACTATCACCAAAGTATACAACTTGGCTATTTGATACGAATGGGGTAAGGTAAGGTACGAGTGAAATTAACCTGGTATTTAGTATCATTATTAATAAATACAACTGACTAAAAGAACAAAAGGCTAGCTTTATTACAGGTGTTATCACTTGGGTTTTAAAACATTTCTTCATAAAAATGGTTTCAGAAGAAAAGAATGAATTTTGCTATTTTGAGGATGTAAGGCCACTTCATTGTTACCTACCTGCTTTAATACACTTCTCGCATACCCAAGGATTACGTATGGCATACTTTGTTTCACCTTACTGCTCAGCTCTTACACAACTCTGGTGGAACTGAGGCTAGTCAATCAATGAGCAAGTATTTGTAAATCTCCTACAGAGAACACAAAAAGCCAGAAGAGTACATCCCCTCAAGGAGTTTGCGTTCTGGAAGGTTGGGGGAGAGGCAAGCAAGGACAGACAAGTAAAGTCCTCAATTATTGCCTACCTATGTGAATGTCAGTCTCTCCATGATTTTATGTGCTCTGAGGGTAAGTAAGGACTGTTTCATTTACATCTCAAGAGGTTAAACACAGTGCCTAGCAAGAGTTTAAGAAATGGTTTTTGACCGATGCAAATAAAAAATACATACAAAGTAAATGCCAGAGAATTTGGAGTGGAGGCAGTGAAACCAGCTGGGGTGGGAAGAAGAGTGAGATGGATCAAGAAGGTTCTTATAGAGAAGATGATGCCCAAACTGAGTTTTGATCTTGAAAGAAACTAGGGTTAGCTATTCTAAAAGCAGAGAGGGAAGGGCATGAATCTCAGGCATGTGGACACACACTGTGCAAAGGCACAGATGGAAGAAAGAAGGTGCTAGGTGAGAAACGACCAGTAGGACATCAACCCTGGGCTGTAGAATGGGTAAAGGCGAACAATAATAAAATTCTACTATTAATGGGCAGCTAGGTGCACAGAGTGCCAGGCCTGGAATCTAGCCTCACATCTTCCTGAGTTCAAATGTAGCCTCAGGCACTTACAACCAGTGTGACCCTGGACAAGTTATTTAACCCCTGTCTGTCTCAGTTTTCTTAAATGTAAAATGAGCTAGAGAAGGAAATGGGGCCAAGAAGAGTCGGACACAAGAGTCGGACACAACCGAACACTAATCATAACAAATAATTATAAAATTTACATATGGTTTTACAAACATCTCATTCTTATCATAGCAACTCTGGGAAGCGGTTCTTTTATTATCCCCATTTCACAGGTGAAGAAACCAAAGCATAGAAAGAAAGTGATACACCCTGGGTCACACAGCTGGGATGAGTCTAAAAAAGACTTGAACTCAATTCTTTTTGATTCCAGGTCCAGCACTCACCCACCCGGACAATCAGTTAATGTGTACTAAAAAGGTAGACTGGAGCCAGATTACTCATGGATCAATATCTCTGAATTTTTTTTTTATGATGGGGCTAGTTTCATGTTGAAAAATAAAATACCAAATTCAGAGGGCACAAGTTTCAAGTGAATATATTCCTGTTACTTGTTTAATGTTTTAAGTAAATGATAAATTATAGGAAATTTAATAATTATGTAAGTCTAGTCAAGATAAGATCCAGCTCGAATTGGCAGAAAAACCTTTGTAATGGGGTGGTATAACGCCATTCACATCAACTATCAAGTGTGAATTACTTGTACAGGCTTGTAGTTTCAGCTAGCTTTTTTCTAGTTACTGCCATCCTCCTACCAAGAGTTTCTCATAGCAATATCCCTAGACTTCCCAAAGGGAAAAAAAAGATCAGCAAAGCCTCTCTACAGAAATACTTTTTCCAGAGACCAAATCACACACCAATTCAGAATTCCGAATACAAAAAAAAACCACAATGTTGAAAGGATATATGTTGTATGTATAAAGGATAAGTACTTCAAATAACACTCAATAGAGAGCATAATCCTGAAATATGTTATATAAAATCCTTGAAAAAACCAATTATGGTAACTCAAAAGAACTCCAGTCTCCCTCAAAATATGTTTAGGCTTATCAACTTTCAACTTCTTTGGGCCTCAGATTATATATACAATGAAAATACAGTGAAAAACATGAAATTATAGCTAATCATGATTTTAATGCTTTAGAAGCTTTTACTGAAAAGTGCTGTAATTCTATGACTTGCTGAAATGCATAAACTGAGGTAATTCTTAACAAGATTTAGAAATATGCTCCATGCCTATGAGCTAAACAAAAAAAGGCTAGACATTAAGATTCCGTAATTAATTTCTGATCACAGAAGGGTAATGTAGTTTTGTGTTTAAATGTATTATGCTGAAAAAGTGAAACACATGATCTTATGTATCAAGTAAGAAATTGCTGGATGAGTTACACTTTTCTCAAGCAATTATTAAGAACCTATTCTCTGGATCAGTTTCCTCATCTACAGATTAAGGATGCTGGACTAGATGATTTCTTAAGGCTTCTTTCAAATTTCCGAGTTTATAAAGCTCTGTTTACCTGAAGACATAGGATCATAGATTAATAGAGCTGGAATGCATGTAATGTAAATCATGTAATCCACCTCCTTCATTTTTACACATAAGGAAAATGAAGGCCCAAGGAAGCGCTGTGACTTAACCAAGATCACACTGATTCTAAGCTGCCTGTATTTGAACCCAAACCCTCCCACCCCAAATTCAGCACTTTCTCCACTGTACCACACACACACACACACCCCCCTCTCACTTTGCTTTTGTAGGCATATCATTTTCAATGGTTGTAACACTGACATCTATGTAGCACTTCAAAGGTTTACAAAATTCAAATCTTGCAAAGTTTAAGGGATATTTCTTTGAAAAATTCTGAAATCTCCAAGCTCACTCAAAGACCCAAAGATGTCTTACTGTTGGAAAAATATGACTTTATTCTAGCAAAAACTACCATACTTTAAATCACCTCTCTAACACATCCTGCTGATCAGTTCGTCATGGGCTTAGCAGGCAAATGGACAAAATTAAGCCGGCTTCTCCAGTAGAACAATTCGAATTAAATGATTTTTTAAACACCGTGTTTAATGCAGGAAGAGGAAAAGAAAGAGGAGTGCTCGCCGGATCACGTTTTCAGAATCTAATAAATTTATGGGCCCAATGTTTAAAACATGCAAAGCTACACCAACCGGACTTCAACTACACTGTGTATCACCAAGAATTGTTTACTCCTTTCTAGGACCACTGCTTAAAGACTAAGAGGAAAATTCATACAATTAATTTTAACAGATTTGGTTCCCGTTTAGCCAACAACAACCAATCGTTAAAATTTAAATGCCTCCCTAGACAGACTCAAATTTAAAAGCCAGCCCCTAACTTATCTACTCCCCTCCCCAGCCACCCTTCCCATCACCTAAATGTTCTCTACAACCTCTCCCCAAAACAAACTCCAAGGCAAACATGGCTTAATCAACTAACTACCTGAAGCAAAACCATACAGACTTTGCTGCCTCCGGTGTAAGAATTGTTCCCACATTTGGATCCTGACCATCTCAGTCAAAACCTGATCACTTCTTTGCCCCACGAGTCAGGGCACAGGCCGACCAAGTACAAGGCTGATGGAGGCGGGGGGGGGGGGGGGGGAATCTGGGCTATTTCAACATCCAGCACCTTCCTATCTCCCTTCAGAGGAGAAAAAGTTCGGAAAGCCGGTGGTCCTAGCAAGCCCAGGGAGGTCCGAGGGAAGAGGCCAGTGAGGAGGGGTGAGGGGGAGAAGGGGAGGGAGGGGCCGGAGAGGGTCGCCTTCCCTTCCTCCTCCTCCGACACAAACACTCCCCGCCCCAGGAGGAAGCGTTAACCCTCGAGCTGCTCCCCGCGGGCGCCTCCCGAGCTCCTCCGGCCGCTCGTCTCCTCCGAGGGGGAGGCCGGGTAAGGGGGGTGGGGTTGCTGGGTGTTCCCGGGAGTGCCCGAGCAGCCGCCCCAGCTTGTTTACAGGCCCCGGGCCTGGCCAGGCCGCTGCCTCCTCCTCCTCCTCCACCCTCCCCTCCCCTCCCCCTCCCCCCTTCAGGAGGAGCCGCCGTCGCCGCCGCGCAGCCCCCGGAGCGGCCTCCCCCTCCCGGGCCCTGCGTCCCCGGCGCGGGGCTTACCGAAAGCGGCCGAAGAAGAAGCGGGTCCCCGGTCCGAGGCGGTGGCGGCGGCTCGGCAAATGAGGGGCAAGGGAAGGGGGGAAGGGAAAAGGGGAGGGGGGTCACCGCACGTCGCGGGCCGGGCCGGGTCGTCCGGGAGGAGGGAAGGGGAGGGGGGAAGAGGCGGAACGCGTCTGGGACCCCGGCTCGTGGCGCCCTCGCCGCCGCTCAGATCATCGCAGGCATCGGGACGGAGGCGCGGAGCGGGTCCCGGAGGGGAGCAAACGGCGAGTTCATCGCTGGCGGGCCCCGCCGGCCCCGGGTCGGTCTCTCCGCCCCCTCCCCCCACCCCCGCCCCAGCCACCCGGTCCCGCGATCCAGCCGCACCGAGTCCCCGAGCTCGGGGCTGAGGAAGCGCCGAGACCCGGTTGTCTCGCTCCCAAGCGCGCTCCCGCCTCTAATGTCGCTGCCGCCTCCGCCTCCTCCAGCGCGCACGCGCGCACGCGCGCTCACGCCCCACTCCCTCCTCCTCCTCTTCCTCCTCTCCCTTCCCCCCTTTCCTTCTTCCCTCCTCCCCTTCCTCTCCCCCCTCCACAGCTGCGGCGCCTTGTAGCAGCTGGAAAGACCCGGATGTTGTTGGGCTGGAACTTCTGCAAGGGTAAGGTGGAGGAGGGGCGGGTTAGGAATGACATAATTCCCCTACCCCATCTTCACTCGGCGGCCGCCGCCACCCTGCGAGGGACTGGAGAGAACGAGAGCTCGCTCGCGCTGGTCTGTGTCTGTAGGAGGGGGGGCGGGGGCTCCCACCTTGGCATACACCCCGCCCCCAGCCCCCCCTCCCCCCGCCGCACGCCCAGTGCACACATCCTGGCTGCTAGCATAGTCTCCTGACCTCGGTGTGATTGAGAAAGTGCTTGTTTTGTTCTGAGCCGCGTAGAGTGTGCTCCCAAAAATAGCCCTTCGGAAGGCTGCTTGTAGGCAGAGCTTGGTTTCTGATGAAGACTACATGAATTGTAACCGCCCGCACTAGGCCTTCACATCTCTTAAGCTAGACCTGAAACCCAAATAACCTGTGTGTGTACCCACATCCTATGCACACCTCTAGTTTGATCCCCTTAAACAGTTTTTCTTCCAGATGATTTTCTGAATATAAATACAAAATGTAAAATATCCACAACGGTGTGGCACGAAATACTTTTTAGCCAGCCATCCAAAAAGCAACCCTAAAGTAACTTTAATTCTTAGCCACTCCTGTATTTAAAATTACAGATATCTAATTTTACCGGTCTCCCAGCTTTTTTGCCTGTCTCAAGGTTTGGTTGACCCTGTAGATCCTCCATAGTCCCTCCTCAGGTCAAATAGAGGTTCTCACATTGTTTATTCCATCTCATCCCACCTGCATTAATTGTCATATATCCGTACCCCTCTAAACTTCATAAGGGACAGCTAAGTGACACCATGGATAGAGCTCTGGGCCTAGAGTCAGGAAGATCTGAGTTCAAATCTAGCATCAGACTCTTACTAGCTGTGTGACCCTGGGCAAGTCATTTAACCCTGTTTGCCTCAGTTTCCTCCTTTATAAAATGAGCTGGAGATGGAAAAGGCTAACCACTCCAGCATCTTTGCAAAGAAAATCCCAAACGAGGTCACAATCAGACCTGACTGAAACAACAGCAGACTTCATACTGTCTTCTCTTTGCTTAAGCCACTGTTTTCCTCACAAATTCCAAACACACACATACACACGCCTCTACCCTCATCCTTTGACACCCACCCACAACTGGGTATGTAAGCACACAGGGCACAAATGAGTTCCTAGTAGATATCAGTCTGGAGCTGGTGAAATTCCAAATTCTTTTTCTAAGTGTTAGTCACATGTCTGTGTAACAAAGGACTTCAAAGTGCTAGGGTTTAGTAAGAGTGGATTTTTAAGACTGAAGGAAGGACAGAAATATAACAGCTACTTCGACTAAGGATTAAGGATAAACTAAACAATTGAAATAACATGTGCAATGGAAAACCCTACCCATGTAGCAGTACATGTAGAAAGCAATATATAGAGTGGCAATAGCCAATGAATCAAAAAAGCAAAAGCAGTACGTTGCCAGAATGTTTCATTGGCTAATTTTTCTTGCCTATTCTGTTAGTAGCTTAACCTTTTCTTAAATATGACATGTAATAGATATGGTAACAGAATGGGAATTTTTTTTAAGAAGCAGATTTTTTTTAGAAGTTTTGCCACGAAGAAAAAAATGCCACATTTTAAGTGGAGTATGTTCTGGAAAACAATGTTTAATTTTTATAAGCCAAACATATTAAAAATAGGATTATGATGTCATTTTTGGTGGACTCCTCATTTTGCCTCAACTGCTAATTATAGTACTTTTGTGCCCTGCTACACTGTTACTGCTAAAAATTACTTTGTTACCTAGGCACTCTAACCTTCCACCAAAATAATCCATTATCCATCAGTTACTTTTGGCTTTTGGCAACATTGTTTCCTAAGGTTACAGTCCTTTTTCCTCTGTTTTCAGAATAAGAAGTTCCTAAGATCTCCCAGTCATCTAATTGTAAATTGCAGCCAGAATTTTTAATAAACACAGCACCTCCTTTATCCTGCCTGTTTGGGGCGTTAGGATTTCTTAGAGTGATAGAAATGGATAGTTTCCAAATCCAAACAGTAAAAAAAAAATTAGAAAAAATGCCACTTAATCTGTGCTCCAGCCTCATCTAAGAGCAGATTTCCCAATTGTTTCTCCTTATACCTGCCAAGAAAAAAATTGAATTCAAGATTCTTGAGCTTCTCCCCAATTTAAATTTTGAGCACATGATTAGGAGGAGTACTTACAGGACATATGACCCAATTGGCAATAAAAATGTGGTTGTGGGAAATCACTTATAAAACCCAAACTCCATTTTTTTTGTCCATTAAGCAAAATCTATGTAATCAATTACTGCAACAATTCCTGCCTGTTCCCTCCCCCCCCATAAATTCCTCTTTTGGTCTTATCTCTTATTTCCAAGATTAGATTATTCACCACTGCAAAAGACCATGAGTACTAGATCTGTCCCCTCCCAAAAAACGCTTGAGACTGTCAATTAACTTTTTGCTGTTATCAAAAAAATTCTCACCCTATCCCAATCCCCCTATTCATTCATATTTTCCAGAAAAGTAACTAACAGCTGTGTAAATGTGGCAAGTACAAAAGCAACCAAATGCCAATGATGTTAGGTAAATTTTGACTGAATCGGATTAGTGCAGACAGATAAGAATAATTGCATCACTGGGACGAGCCAGAACAACCCTTCATGAGTAATCCTGAGGATTAAAGCAGTATGCAATGAAATCTCTGCTCCTATCCAATACCTTTATAATCTAGGAGAATCTGGAACAATTACACGGGTTGGGGGGAGCCAGGGGAAGAAAGGGAGTAGGAATAAGAAATCCTAGCATAAGGGGAAAAAATAAAACGGTGATATTTTAAAACTCAGAGTTTGAGTTAGTCTACCATAAACTGCCAATACACAAGAACCCTCTTTAGATATGGCTCTCAAGAAAATTTTGGTGTATATCAAGAAATTTACAAGCTATTATAATAACACTGTTAGTTAAGAGCTAGAAAATTTTTATCACTTTTTGAGTAATGTAACTATGGGTGATTATTCCTTTTTTTAAGGTTCTTTAAGTCTCTAGCTATTTTTAAAAATTAAGTTTAAAACAAGTTCTCAACTTTTTTTTCTTTTTTGGTCATAGACTTCTCTGGCAGCCTGGTAAAGTCTATGGACTCCTCAAAATGCTTTTAAATTCATAAAATTAAGTACATAAATTACAAAGAAAACCAATTATCTTGAAATACATTTATCAAAATGTTATTTTTAAAAGCCTATGAACCCCAGGTTAGAACTTCTGTTTTAGCAGAAATACACAAGGCTAAATGTTCATTTTCAACTAATTTTGTGGTACTTCAACAAGGAATTTGTTGACAAAATTTAATTTGTAATTTTATAGCCCTAGAATGAAGTTACTCTACATTGTTTTAGGAAAATTGGGGAGGGGGGTGTTTAACTGGGTTGTTGTTGGGTTTTTTTTTTAACAAAAACTAAAAAGACTCAGAAATTTTGCTTTAATAATCTTTAGTTCCAGAATTTAGCCTTTTATTTGCCATTCTTCTGAAAGCAACAATCATTTATTAAACATCTGCACATAGCAGACGTTGTGCTAGGTGCAGAGGATACAGAGATGAAAAAGCATCAGTTGCTGCCTCCAAGGAGCTTATATTCTACAAGGAGGAAATGCATGTACAAAGAAAATTATATACAACATAGATTGAAAGTAATTTCTAGATAAGTAGATATAGCAGTTCTTTATGTAGTAGCAAAGAATTAAAAACCAAGGGAGTGTCCATCAATTGGGAGAATGGATATACAAATTATGGTATATGGAATGTAATACTACCATGCTGTAAGAGAAGAAGAAAGGGGTGGCTTCAGAAAATCTTGAGAAGACTTGTATCAACCTGATACAGAGTGAAGTAAGAAGAACCAGGAGAACCATAGCAACAACAACACTGTAAAGACAGCTTTGTAAGACTTAAGAGCTCTGATCACCACAATGACCAACGGCAATTTCAGAGTGATGAAACATAGTACCCGACTCCTGACACAAAGGTCATGGACTCTGGCACGTAGTGAAACATTTTTAGAGAGAAGAGATATGACCAAAGTGGGAATTAGTCTTGCCTGATCATATATATTTATTACAAGGATTTTATTTTGGGTTTTTTCCACCAATATAGAGGGAAGTAGAAGGAAGAGAAAACAGATTTTGGTTAATAAAATAAATTTTTTAAAGATCTGAGATAAACATTTTGTTTGATACTTTGATGTGACCTAGGACAGTCTTAACTGAAGTGTTCCTATCTACCATTCAATAAGTACTTTGGACAGAATGACAGAGTCTATACAAAATAATTTGACAAATTGGTCTAATTATCTGAAGGTATTATAACTTGCCTCACCTCAAACAAAAATAACAACTAAAGAACCAAAAATATTCATTATCCTGCTCTTTTGAAACATTGCCAACCTCTGGTAAAGATAATTGTCAGGGAAATGCCTAAATCAGACAACCTAATAGGTTGCTATAACTTATGGGCATGGTATTTGAGTTTGAAAATCTCCCAAAGAAATAAATTCTCTGGTCAAGTAAATCTAAATAGAAAAACTAATAAGAAGGCTTCAGAAATCATAGATGATTTTAAGCTGAGAGAGAAAGAAAAGTTTAAAATTGGTTATTTCAGCCATCTTTCAGAAGCTACTATGTCTTGCATGATTATCAACTAATACAGGCCTGAAAAACTGGAAAAA